TGGGTAGCGAAGTCGGTGAGCAGTTGGTGTATGTAGTGGATAACGTCGATGTCTGGTTTGGGGGATCTTGAAGCTTTGGAGTGTCGTCTTGAGGGGTTTTTATGCCGAAACCGTCTGGGGTTCGCATACGGTGGGTGTGTCACCGTTTGATACGATACTCCACCGGCATATGTCTGTGGATCGTCCATCGGCGGCCTACCAGTCCCTTCCGATAGCTCCGATACGCTGTTGACACCCTCGGCGTCAAGGTATAGCTTCAGCTGTTCTAAACCGTCAACCTGATCGAGAGGTAGCCAAGTGACATCACCGGCTTTCCATTTGACCTCAAAGATGGCCGAACGTCCCTTACCCTTATGGGACAGGATCCGTTCTATAGCCCATTCGCCACCATCTTCGCCAAAGTCTGCGACCTGCGTTTCCGAGCGTCCTGGGAATAAACGGTCATCGTTAGGAACGTGAACGCGCATTAAACTTGCGTGAAACACCGGGTGTACTCCACGCTGGGTCAGGCGCGCGGGTAGTTGTATGCGGTACGAATTGTTGCCAAAGTCCTTCTCGATAATGTACGGGCCGATATATTTGGGTATTAACTTTCGCGCGCGTCCCTTCGGAAACGATATATTCTTCGTGGATACGTAGACCATGTCGCCCTCCGTGAACGGGACTGGTCTCCTGTGCCGATTGGCGGCACGCGTCTGCTTTACGCGGGCTTCCAGGATAGCGTCATGCGCCGCCATGATGGCAGTTCTGATGCGCTGCGCAAATACGCGTACCCCAGGATATTCCGAGGCAGGTGGTTGATTCCAGATCATTGAGCGAGGCATCCGACCAGTATCTAGGAAGAACGGGGCGAACCCCGTACTGTCAGATCGGGCAGCATTGATTGCGAACTCCACCGCCGGTAGTTTCATGACCCAATCCTTCTGGTCGGGCCGTATGCATGTTCTGATCATCTGAGCCATGGTCCTCCCGGCGCGTTCAGTGGAGCCATCCGACTCAGGGTGATAGGCGCTTGACATGTTGAGCTTGATGCCGAGCAGGCCATTGAGGTGCTGCCAGAAAGTACTCGTGAAGAGGACGTCGCAATCGCTAATGATCCGTTTAGGTAACCCATGTAATCGGTATACCTCTGAAAATATCAACTCAGCTATGTCCTTTGCTCGGTAGTCCTGACGACTAGGTATAAGGTGGACACGTCCAGAGAGGAGATCAATGACGATAGTAATCTCGTCGAAGGCGCCGTCACGATTCTTCGAGATAGGTAACGGTCCCACGAAGTCTATTCCGATCGCTTCCCACGGACTCGTCGGCACAGGCAATGGATTCAGTAAACCGTATGGTTTCTGGTTACTGGGCTTACTCCGTCGGCACGTAGCGCAACTCTCGCAGTATGCCTGAACGTCGCGAACCATCGATTTCCACCATACGCTCTCCCTCAGATAGGCGACGGTCTTGGATGGTCCTAGGTGAGCTAGCATGGAGTGTGCCCTGGCGATCACGATTTCCCTCGCGCTTCGTCCGTTAATCAAGCAGTTGGGTATGCATAGTAACATGGTATCCACTTCCTTGAGGTATAGAATCTCGTTGTCAACGATAAAGTTCTTGTACTGAGCCGGGTTTTCCAATATTATCCGGAAAAACGGATCAGCGATGTACTGCCCACGCATACATGCTGCTAAGTCCGAAATCCCGTCATAGTCGGCCATAACATCAATAAGTCCGGCGGGTGCTCTATTCTCGTTATCTGATAGATCTACGATCTGGTCCTGGCCAACTGGCGCTGCCTCTTCGTGTTGTGCGATACCAACGCTACTCCCGCCCTCCTGACGTTCCGACGGGAGGAGGAGCGTCACCTTTTTGATGCGTTTCGCAAACTCCTTAGCGGTCTCGGGGCGCCCTGTTTCAGCCGGCGTATCTATACCACGAGGGCGACGAGGCGGCTTTGATTCTAACGATGGCGTAACAACGACGCGCCCTCCAGACCGTGAAGACGGTTTATCGGAACGATGTTGTTGGTGCGAAGGGAGGTGCGGCATGCCATCGTCGTTGGTATTCCGCAATTGGGCACGAGTGGTGACCGCCCGAGCCTCAAGCCCAGTGAAGATCGGGAAAGCCAAGGCCGCGCGGACCACCACATCGTCATCAAATTGCACATGTTCCGTTGGGGCGCGTACCGTTCCGGGCGACTCGTCCGAGTAGATGCGCGATAGTGAGTCCGCCAGTCCATTTTCGAGACCAGGGACGTACTGTACCGAAAAATCGAACTCGCTCATCTTTTCGAGCCATCTGGCCTGACGCCCTGTAAGATTGCGCTGATTCATGAAGTGCACCAGTGCCTTATGGTCGGTGTACCACGTGAAGGGCACACCCAGCAGCAGATCACGGTGTCGCATCATGGTTTCCAGCCCGGCGAGTAGTTCGATCTCGTGTACCGCGTAATTCTGTTGAGCTGACGATAGCTTCGCAGAATAAAACGCGACTACGGGCGCCGTCTTCCAGTCGATACCCTGTTTGATGCAGCCTCCGATGCCGGTCAAGCACCCATCAGTGACCATGTGCACGGGCAAAGCATTATCGCCGTATTTCATGGATACACGATTTACCGCACGGTGAGCTTCGACAATTTGTTTTATTTGAACGAACGCTCGTTGCTCCGTAGGGCCCCACCGGTACACCACGGTGTCCCCGGTAAGACGGTTTAGCACGTCCATCGGTATCCGAACTCCGGCGCAACCATCGGCGAGGTATCCGACCGCACCCAAAAAGCCGCGCAGCAAATCCCGATTGGTGGGCACTTTCCAGGCGGCGATCTTATCGACTTTGGCGCCATCCAGGAAGATGCCATCATGCGTTATGATGTGCCCTAGCAATTTGATCTCGTCAGCGAGCAAGTGCACTTTACTGGACGATAAGTAAAACTTATTGTCTCGTAACGTGTCGATGACTAGTTTAACACATCGTACGTGTTCGTCGAGGTCATCTGTATGAATCAACAGATCGTCGAGATACACTTCCAGCCATACTCCTATGTACGATGAGAACATATCCGTCATTACGGCCATGAACGTAGCTATCGCATTACAATCTCCTTGTTGCAATACCAAGCTAACCATTGTTCCATCAGGTGTCGCCATTAATGTATGCGGCACGTCTTCCGGTTCAACACGAACCTGCTCGTAGGCTCCCTCGAGGTCCATCGCCGTGAAATACTTACTGGCGGCCACGCGCCGTCTGATCCCTTCCTGATCAGGCAGGGGTGAGGCGAGTTTTTCCGTATTTTCGTTCCTTGCACGGAGGTCAACGGTATTTCGCATGCCTCCGCTAGGTTTCTTTAAGAACATGATCGGCGCGGAGTTGATTCCTTGCGCGTATTGCCAACGGCCTGACCTCAAGAAAATATCTCGTTTCGTGGTCCATTGATCACGAAACCCTTCCGGACATTTGGACGGTCGAAACGGGTAACGTTTCGTCGGGTCCTTGATGGGTATCCGGTGATTGATACGTCGCAGAGGGGGCAGCTCCGTTTCCGTTGCTTTCTGAAAAAGCGGCTCAGCGTATCTTGCCAGCTCTGCACGGGCCTCGTCGACCGTTCGTTCCACGATTCGGGCAGCCTTAGAGGCAAGCATCGCAATCTCAGGACCATGCCGTAGTGTGTCCGGTGCGTCGCTTCCTATTATGACTCGTGCCGGATTGAGTCCGATGACTAGTTTGTGCTGCCAGATGAATGGTGTTCCTAGTATCAAGTCGTACCCATCGACATTCATGATGTCGAACGTTCGCTTACACGCGATGCCAGCGTACGCGAGGTCGACTTCTGTACAGAAGTTAACCTTTGTTTTGGACCCTTGCGCCGCCAGCTGCACGGTGAGCTGAGTATCCATTGCCGTTTTCTTGACTCGTAGCTGATCCGCTAGAGTAGTGGACATAAAGTCCCCTAGGGACCCAGAATCTAATAGTGCGCGACACTCATGCCCGTTGACGCGGACGACAATGACTAGCGGTCGCGGAATCTTGCGCCCGTCTCGCTTAGTCTTTGCGGCGTTCCGTTGTAAGGACGCATATGAGCCTTCCGGCGGCTGGCGAGTGCGTGCGGCACATAACCGGTACGACCCTTCGGCTTGTGCATTCCAAGTTTCGGCGCTGACGTTGCCCCTGTAACAGAACTCATCTAATACACGAGCAGATCGAGCTTGCAACTCATAATCACCATTATTTGGTGAATCATCGTCGATGTCATCATTGGTCGCAGGCCCCGGACTATCGTCGCGCCCGGCGTCCGAATCATTGTCGTCGGGACCATCAGCGCCATCCTCGTTTTCATCGGGAAGGTCAGGTCGGGGTCCATCATCCGAATCATCGCTGCCGTCGCCCCATAGTTCGGGGTCAATATCGAAGCCGGCGCCAATACGCTCGTCCTCCCATTCACGGGCGAACCGTATAAATTCCAATACGCGTTTTCGATACCAATCAGCGAAACGGAAACGCTGCCGCATGACGAGAAACATAGGGCATAAGATTGGTACGTCCAACACAGGATCGTATATCACCCAGGGGGTTTGATCACTAGGTGTTTGTGTCATATAGACAAGGATTCGTTCCACACCCCGCCATACATGCCACAGATGAGGATAGGCTGCGATGTTGCGACTCATCATGAGTTCTAATCGTTCCGCGACAGGATCGCCGATCTCGTCGGTGCTCCAGAACCGCGGGTCCAACTGATGATCCACGATATCCGAGTCGGGTTGTAAACCATTAGGCGACGATTGTAGTCGGTAAGCCGCTTCTGCAATCTGAAGACGTTGGTTGAACCCCTGAGCTTCGAGGTAGGACAGATATTCCGCCTTCTGGTCTAGTCGAGCGAGATGACGCCAGTCATACGTGACCTCTACCCAAGGTAGTATGGCAGTCGGAGGGTTCCCATCGTCGTCTAGACCATCACTGCGGATGGTGGGCTCGGTTTCCATGTACAAAGGAAGTCCACTATCATCTTCCGTTACGAATCGTACTGACGCCGAGGTTACCTCCGTTAGCAATTCATCGCCATCTGCGAGTTCTACTGAATCACCGAAGGATATCGCTCCCGCGTAGCTGGGAACACCGGGAGGTACGCCCTTCTTCCGGTTCCCTTTAACCTGATGCATGCCAGGGCAATTACGAGACATATGACCAGTCTGTCCGCAATCAAAGCATCGCCCATCAGCGATGTAGGCCTTCTTGTCCTCGTCGCTCAACCGCTTTGGGCGTACAGGTCGTTTATCCTTCCGGCCATCATTATCGGACGGCCACGATGTTCGGGTCGCCGATTTGTGTCCTTCTGGTTTCGTTACGGAGTGGCCCCGTTCGCTCGCCTTCGCAGCTGCTACCTTAGCTTTCGCAAAGGTCCTGCTGCCCTCGGCGGGCTTAGTAGGTGCCCCAGACTGTAATTTCCGCTGGTTCTCATGTCTGGCGGCCGCCAGTTCTCCTCGTTCTTTCTGCTCACAAGCTTCTAGGACTAGCGCATAACTCGTAGTCTCAGGATTATAGAACAGAGCGTTATACAGGTGTTTGGTATAGCTACTGTTCAGTCCTTGGAAGAACTGGCGGACGAAGTCCCGGTCGCTAACATCCCCGAGCCGATCACGCATGTTCTCCATGCTAGCAGCATAGGTTCGTATGTCTTGTCCGTCCTGTCTAGCATTGTGGAAGCTGAATCGTACGTCGTCCAGGAATCCTTCAGGTATGCAGTAGTTGAATAGCCCTTCAAAGAAGTCGTCTATTGCCCACTCGTCAGGGATTTCGACCGTATTGTCAAAGAACTGACCCGCCTTTCCATCCAGGAATCGACGAAGCTTAGATACCGCACGACCGGCAGTTACTCGTCCATCGATCAGGTAGTCCCCTGACTCGATAACGAACTTCTGGAATTCGTCCACCCTGGGTGAGCCTCGATATTCCTTAGGAGGTACGGGTTTAATCTCAGTCTTAGGGAGCGGTTTGTCACTTTCTAATGCCATCATGGCTCGTTTCACCTCAGCAAGCTTGTTGCGAATGACCTTGCCTAACGAGCTATTCGGCATGATTCGGTCTGCAGGCCTCATAATCGATGCATGGCCGACCCGTTTGTCCTCAACCGTATTGGTGCTGTAACGTCCCGACCCTCCGAATACCGAGGCCGACGAAGTCCCGTATCCTTTAGTCAAGGCAGGGCCTAAGGTCGGCGAGTCGGTTTCCTTCGGTTTGGAAGGGGCGATACGTGCTCTGTCCGGCCGTTCCGGGTTCTGACCCTGATTATCCTTCCATTGTCGCAAGGCGGCTACCTCTTTCGTGACGTCGGACACGAGGGCACGCTCAGCGTTGAGTTGCTCCATAATCAGCCGGTTGTGCTCCAAGGCGTCTTGAAGTAGCAACTCCGTCTCTACCCGCGCACGATCGGCGACATTGACGGCCTCGCGATGGGCCGTGAAGAACTTTGAAGGCGACTCGAGACCGAGATCGACACCAGCATGATTGCCCGATCCCGAGGCGGCCTTCGTATCATGATGCTGGGTCTTCAATGCGGCATTGTAAGTGTCCAGCGCCCGTTGTTGAAGCTCTGGATTCATATCATGTACGTCTAGACCAGATATCATGACATTCTCGTCGAAGGTAGCAATCGAGTTTCCTCCATCGTCAGACTTCGGCGAGCCTAACATGCGCCCCTTTCCCTTGTCAACCTTAGACTCAGGCGAAGGGGTGTCCGGAGGGTCAGAGGGTTCTCTAGATGCTCCCCTATCCTTACGAGGGGCACCGGGTACCAATAGGTTTGTCCCTTCGTACTCCGGTTCTTCCTTGACGTTGACCAAGGGTTCTCCGGTCTCTCTAAGTAGCTCAAACGAATTCCTTGTATTGAGTTTCGGGCTACTCGACCTACGGACCATCGGAGGTGTCCTTCTACCAGTACCTCCTACTGTAGTCCAGGCACCTGAGCCGTTGCTCGAGGTGCCTTCCTTGAGTACACGGCTATCGCCCGTACTACTTAACTGACCAGGTCTAGCCTGGTCAGTGCGCAACCCGTCAGGGTCGGTCTCAGCGCTCCGCGCCGGTCCTATGGCAGGCTCGGATGGAGCAAACGGGTTGTTTACCCCATCGTCCACCGGTGTTCCGCCTTGTAAGGCCGTTGCGCGGCTACGGGTCCAGTATCGACCCGTCGAATCCCTAGGCGGTTCAGACATGAATGCTCGGGATGCGAAAAGACGTTACTAGTTCTAGTGCGACCTCCAGCGGTAGGGCGTCTCGGTTGATCAGACCGAGGGAGTCCTAGTCGAAGGAGATTAGCGATTTATCAGAGAGTATGAAACTTACAGGTACTGTCAAAAATATGTGACGCGGGCAAGCTGTCTTAGTCAGCGAGGTGCGTTCACACGGTTACTCGGGCTCAAAGAAAGACAGGGGTAAGCTGTAGTTCGATGCTCGCAAGTAAGATACAGGCAGAGGTCGACTGAGCAGTCCTTATGTACGATAGAATTGTCCAACCCTGCGCCCATGCCCTTAGCCTGAGGCAGAGGGTAACGGCGCCCTGATACCCGATTAGGCAGTCGCGCCCCGGGACGGGACGAAGCCGAGACCCGCTCCGTTACATCCGCCCTCCTGGGACGGGCACCGTTCCAACCAATCGGGCATCGTATGCGACTA